CTTTCCCTTTCTTTTAATAGTAATTAGACATCTGCTCTCTTGAGAAGAGTCACGAGCTCTCCTCCTTTCTGTCCAGTTCGTGTCCTGTGGTGTTATACCTCCTCCACAAAGTCTGTTGTCTTGGATAGCTTAAATGGCTTTATTCCTAGACCCTGTTGTTTTGCCTGGCTGAGTTCCTGTTCATCAGTATTATACTCACCTTACAGGTAATGTGCCATTTCAACATGGACTTTTAATAACGTATACAGGTGAACTGCAGATTTATTTTAGTTTTCCCTAGGGTTTTCTCTGTTCCTCTAAGCTCTGGTGTCCAGGTCTCTATAATGTTTCTAAACAAAAGCTAGCTTATGTGAAATCTGTACTCATCACCTATCTTATTGCTCTCCCAGGAACTCTTGCACAGTATGTTTCTGGAGAAAGAAGGCCAGGTGGACCTGCACTGAAAGGTGAAATGCTTGTAGCAAAATCTGCTCTTTCTTACCTCAGTAATAATGTAATAGCAAGGATTTTTGCACACTTTCCTGTTTTCCCCAGGTTAACTGATAGGCTTTATCGGAACCACTGCGTGTCATGGTGTGTATGTGTTTGAAGATAGAGAGTAGCTAGAGCTGGATGTGCTCTGCCTCCATACACTCTGCTCTGCTAACATGTTATGCAGGTCCTGGGCCTAAACACACACAAAAGCCTACTCTAATCCAAGACATTTTTTCAGTGTTGAATAGCAAATCACTCTCAGAAAACCAGTTCTGATTGAAAATATATATATGTGGATAAGTTTTACATTCACAATGTAAATATTTGACTATCTTTGTTAAAATGAAATTGTTGGCATGGTGCCATGTCTTCTGGTGAATCTCGGTGGTTAGAAATAGCAATAGTTTTATGTGCCGAGCTTGTACAGGAAGGTGGCAAACAGAGCTGAGCATGATCTTTAAAGACTGGGATTCTCCCTTTGAGAGAGAAGCCACATTTCTTGCCTACGAAATAACACACTCCTGGAGAAAACTTGATGATGTAACATAGGAATGTTACTTCAGTGTGCTGGGCTGGTTCTCTCTCCACCCTTGTATCAGAATGGATTTGTCTGTAGGGAGCATTAAATGCACTTGCACATTCCTGGTCCTGAAATCTGCCCCAAGCAGCCTGAGAGGAAGAAAACTTAGAAAGGAAATACAGGTGAATACAAGTGATGACAGGGACAGAAAACTGATCTCCTAAATTCTAAAAGATTATATGTGGAATTTTAGAGGTTCAATTTCTATATCCTCAATTGCAATTAATATCCCCCTTTTTGCATCCCTCCAGATTGCATTACTGTTCATACTAAAACTGTGCTAGAATCCTCTGCTGAAGGAGCCACAGAAATGCTTACTAACATGCAAGGGGGGGCACCTGTGCTTTCTGATTCTGGATCAAACATACTTGTTAATGAAGTGTAGGAGTGGAAATCGGATAGCACAGGATTTCTCTTAGCATTTTAAATGTAATATATTCTTTGAAGAGGACAAGTCAAGGCTGACACAAACCCACAGCGAACCCTTACAAGTCTCAATTCCACCCTCTTCCAGGATGTTATGATGGTGCTAGATCAAATTTTCTGGGAAAAAATATTAGTGACAGCTGCTAACAATAATCCTTGTTTATAGAGCTGAATAGAGAGGAGTAGGCTAAAGGATTCACTTGAGACTCTTGTATGTTGGTCACTTCAGTCAAGAGATAAAGACTTTTACACGGCAAGTGTTTCTCTTACAGGTGAGTTCTCTAGTAGAAGATGATTGTGCTACGTCAACCTCTGAAGTGTAAAGGTAAGACAAAACTTTGAGCCAGTAATGTCCTTCTGTAGAATCACAGAATGCTTTGGGTTGGAAAGGACCTTAAGATCATCTAGTTCCAACCCCCTGCCATGGGCAGGGGCACCTCACACCAGACCAGGTTGCTCAAGGCTCTGTCCAGCCTGGCCTTGAACACTGCCAGGGATGAAGCATTCACTACTTCTCTGGGCACCCTGTGCCAGCGCCTCAGCACCCTCACAGTAAAGAACTTCTTCCTTGTATCTAACCTGAACTTCCCCTATTTCAGTTTAAACCCATCACCCCTTGTCCTGTTGCTACAGTCCCTGATGAAGAGTTCCTCTCCAGCATCCTTGTAGGCCCGCTTCAACCTGCTGGTCACACTTCTTTAGTGCAAAGAAGGTGATCTTTACACTGATCTTTACGCTATGAGATCTTTTACGAGCTTTCCCAAGCTAGTCTGGTACGTAAGACAGGTTCAAGGGCAACTCTGTTAAGATTGAGTTGCTGCCTTTGTTTTTCTAACAAAGAGGCACTACTACTTGCTTTTCCAGTTAAGAAAAGCTTGAGTAAATTAATTTCCTATGAAGAAGTAGAGTCCTTGGGGTTTGTCTTCCAACTGTCTAATAAAAGACTTGCCTGTCACTGCTGTTATTCTCAGCTTCTGTACTTTGCAATGCAAGGATCTTTGCCTGTAAAACTCAGTAAATCTATCTCCAGCCTTCCCCTAAGTTTACTGTATGCAGGAGGAAAGGGATCTTTTAACAGATTACTCTCTGAAGTCTGCTCCCTGAAGACGATTTTCCTCTTCTCAGAGGTAAGCTTTAAAGAAATACTCTCTGTACCTCTATGAGACTTGAATAACTTTTTTCTTTAGTTAAAGCTGTATTCCATCTGCAAATGTTGTTTAGCAAACTGATGCCGTGGTGTTCCACAGCTGAGACAGGATTAATTGAACTAAAATGACAAAGCAGTATCCTCTGCAATGAGAGTTTTTAATACAAACTCTGTTTTATCAAATACTCTCTCTTCTAAATATATTCAGCTATGGGAAAAACTGGCATTCAGTGGGTTTCCATGACAGCAGCTGAGGTAAAACTAGACCAGCTATTCCAAAGGTCGCTCATTGAAAGGCACTGATCAGAGAGGTTGATTTGGCAATGTGATTACGGGAGAGCAAAGAATAGAATTGCAAGAACCTTAGGTTATCATGACCAAGAAGAAATGCAGCATAGGAGAAAGAGGAAGTAGCTGCAAGTCTGTGGTGGTTAAGAACTATAGGGGCTAGTAAGTTGCCTCATAAAGGCATAAATACATATTAATAGTATATGACAAAATGAGCTCTTACAAAAAGTGCTGTACTCAAAAAACAAGAGGGGATGTAGGAGGTGATTTGCATACATGAATGCTGAGAGTAACTGAAGACAGTAAGATTGTTTGGGTTTGGTATACGTGGACTCATATTTGTACAGCATCAGGAGCTGACTTAATCCCAGAATCTGCTTGTGTGTCTTCATTGAAAGTCCTAATAGTCCTAAAATTCTACTAACCCCAAAGCTGCATCACTTGCTGTCTAGCACTGATGTTTTCTTACTACTCAAACATGCATCATCCTGGACAAATGAGTTAGTCTTCTGACCTGTTCTAGATGATAGTTAGTTAATGAGCATTTACCTAGGATTTTTCTTGAATTTGATTTTTCCTTAGTTTTCCTTTTTAAACCAGAAGTCGTAAAGGAATTGGGAGCTAATGGCCCCGGTTGGTTTGGCTGGCAATTCAATGCAGTGGAACAGTTTCTGATCGCCACGCACTTTAGTAATTTGCTTCTACTTCTCAATCTTTGAACAACATAAGGGTTGACTAAAGTTTTGCAATGTTGCATTAATTCTGAGCAGACTGTAAAAATCTCTCAGAAATGGGTGTACTATTTGTCTTTTTTAAAAAGCAACTCTAGGTACTAGCTTAGAAAAGACATTGAGACTACTGCAAGCCAGTAAGTAAAATATCACAAGCAACAAGTTGAATCATCCACATTAATTATGCTGAATAACCATACAAACCTTATGGATAATTCATTACATACTTTTACATTCAAATAATTAGTACATGATTACCAGAAGAAATTTCTACTTGATTAAATAGCTTCAGCACTCTGAAGCACTTTTACCTGCAAAGGAAGTAGAATGCTCCAATTACAAGAACTCCTAGAAGAAGCAGTGAAGCCAAGAAAGCTGCAAACAGGTCACCTTTAGCTTGGGACTTGATGCTGGGCAGCAAAACTTCCTCACAGCGGGCTCCTGTGTAGTTCTCAATACACCTGGGAAACCAAATTTTATTTGGATTAGATGGTAACTTGTCATCTAATATGAAAAGCACAAAGGCTTCTTTGGGTCTTAAAGGGGAAGAGAACTTGCTACAGCATAATTCAAGGTCTATATTTGCTTCACAGCAAGTTTTCTTCTGAAATTTCCACTCACCTCACATTTCTGGAACAAAGGGAACAGGCATGTTGGGCATCAAGTTTACATTCTGATCCATATTGCGTTTATATCTTAAACCATATCCTTCATAATACCTTCATTGGATTAGCAATATGCTTCACAAAGGTGTACCTGGGAGTTAAATCTGCCTCCTCCACTGGAAGATTTAATTAATTAAATTCCCCTCTTCAATGTTAACTGTGTCATCCCACTGGTTCTCACACAATAGTCATGCTTTCTTTTCTCACTTTCATGTAACTTCAGCTAAATTAATTGAGACACAGTACACCTTAAATTGCACGAGTAGTTTATGCAGTGTAATAATGACAGAACATGTTACGTGCTTAGTGAATGGCCCTCTCTTGGAAAGATGTAGCTAAAAGTCTTCTCTACTATGCTTATTTTATGTACTGAACTTCTGAAAACTTCTTCTGAAGGAGGATTGAAATGAATATGGTATTTATTTTACCATGGTCAAATGGTACGATGTTTTGTTAAAAATAAGTAAAATTAATGGCTTAGTAATTCATGTTGAGTCAAAAACAGATAGGTTGAAGCTAAATTAATCATAGAATTGTTTAGGTTGGAAAAGACCTTTAAGATAATCAAGTCCAACAGTTGACCCAGCACTGCCAAGTCCACCACGAAACCGTGTCCTGAAGTGCCACATCTATATGTCGTTTAAATATCTCCAAGGGTGGTGACTCAGCCACTTCCCTGGGCAGCCAGTCTTCATTTGTCTTACATTTTTCACTTCTTCTTCTATGTTTTCTTAAAGAATTTATAGCATTACAGAAAATGAGAAGCACTTCACTCAATAACTACATTCTCCACGTATCTTTTATGTATGTAAATTTGCTTCTCTCTGTTTGTATTGCTAAAGATCTTGCTCCTTCTTGCTATTTCTGGCACTGAAGTCATAATAATCGGTGACATAAGCAATTGCATTGGCAGCTGCAAGGTATAATTTCACATGAGGGATAAAGAAGGTTGAGTGGTGAGGAACTGCTAAAAAAGAAGAAAGATGTCTAGCATATCTGAATAAGAGAAAGGCATCACCGTGAGCATACCAACATGCACGCTTGGTGTGACTCCCAGCATTGCTTCCTGTACATTGACCACTATTTCAGTACTACTGGTCTAAACTATTGCACAGGGAATTACTACCATTTTGTTTTGGAAATAAAATGGAAGATTTAGACATTAGGGAAAAAAAAAAAGGTAATCATCATCATATATTAAAGCTGTGCAAGTGATCAAACAGCCACCATTTGCTAAGGATGATGCGAGACTTTTCAAAGTTACTATATTTGACTGCTGGGAGAAGGAAGGGTAGTCAAGGCTGCTCTGATTGCTGGAGATAATGTTCCAGATATTTACGGTAGGTATAGTGGCATTTCACTGGCCTATTTCTGAAATACTGCAGAATACTTTAAGAATAGAAGTGCAGTTTGAGTGGGGCATTGTTCTCTGGCAAGTGAGAGAGAAATGCTTTGGAAAGCTGAATAGAATAACAGGGACAGAAAATGGAATATAAAATTCACAGAAGTATTCTTGAATACCAATGGAAACTGGAGAAAAATGCAAGTCTAAAATAATACAGGAAAAAAAAAATAAATAGGTTTTGGCATCAGGATAATGCTCAGGGAAAAGTTCTAGAGAACAAGTCTAAAGGGTAAGTCAGTAGCCTAGAGAGAAAACTGAAGGAAGAGGAAGAAAAGGCAGTCCTTCTGGGTGCAGGGAGTTGCACATAGGATTAGGTAAAAGGCCAGGCTTAAGAGAACTGTTGTGATACGTGAGTTGGCATGAGCAGTGCATGGAAGCCATATTCATGTCCTGGGAAATACCATAGGAAAAAAATTGGGAATGTGATGACAGTGTAGCAAAAAGGTCACTGAGATTGTAGCCACTTTCTACTAAACAGCAAACAGAACCAGATGCTTAAGGTAGTCACAAGTCTTCAAGAGGGAGAGGAGCCACAATATGAATCCAAAGTTATAGCAAAGGGGAAAAGACCCTCACTAATGAGCATACAAAACTTAAAACATCCTGGATGCTGAACGTATTAATTCTTCCTGGATGTAACCAAAACAAGTTTTAGAACTATGTTTTCCATGACTTGCCAGTCAAATAGTATTTGACTGTGTGCAATGGATTAGGGATTACAAAGCTTCTCAGCTACTTTCTCTAGGCTGACCTGTTGATGTGCTTGCTGAAACTGATTTCCATGCTATGTAGAACATACTTCCAAGTAACCTAAAAATGATGGAGGTTTTCATAGAAATGGGAAAATTGAAATGAGGTGTCTCTTGGTAACGTTTAAACAAAATTATAGCTAATATGACCCTACCCACAGGCTCTGCAATAGTATGGGCATTTCTGAAAATCCAGATATTAGTTATGAAGTCATTAATGCTGATGTACAAACAGGGGAAGTACTATGTTAAATGTAGAAGCAGCTGATGCATTAAGACAAGTAAAAAAGGGAAAGGTTTCTACTTTAAGTCCTTTCCTGAAACGGGTGGGAAAGAAACTAAGCAGACTTCAGTAATCAGCATTGGAACTCACTTATCCTGTTGCATTAGCAGAGCTCCAGTAATTTCAGTGGAGTTACATTCAAAGTGACTGCAAGCAAGACAGAAAAGTAGTCTCTAACAAGCAATTGGGCTGTGAACATAATCCGGATTGATGGTAACTATACAGTGTCTTGTAGAGGTAGTCAGTTTTACTATACACAGCCTTAAAAGTCAATAGCAGCTCGTAGTTTATCTTGTTTATAAGGGATGCCAGAAAGTAGAGCCCAAGTTAAGCACGACACCCTTGTAGTTGTTAATGTGGCAGGCAGCTGTGTTTCTTGCACTTGAATGAATGAGAGCAAAAACCAGAGACCTGCTTCTAGGCTATAGTAAGAGGGAGTTCTGCTAATTTAAGTCTTGTGGTCACTAGGCCACGGGCTGCTGTTGCACAACAGCTGCATGTTCTTAGCCTGCTCTTTCAGCATGTGCTGTCCGTTGGCTTTAAATGGTCCTATGTAGCATTCCAAAGTTGATTTTTACAATGTAAAAAAGGTCTTTCGTCCTGTAAGAAATTTCCATGTATTACTCAGTTGGAGTTGAAAGACAACTGCTTTCAGTGTTTGAGGTAAAGCTGTGAGACTAGAAACTCCCATTTTCAGACAGCATCCAGATTTCTGCTTTCCTAGGTGCCTGCACACACCCACCTCTTTTCAGCTGAGATGAGCCAGCCTGAACTGTTCTATACAAAAGTACAATAGGGGCTGTGCTGGAGACAAAACACTAACATAATACACCTAAAGAAATCCACAGACTCTTTCAACATAGGGTATTAATCCAAACTACCCTTATCAGCATCAATGCAAGGTAGAAGGAAATAGATTGCATTGGATAAAATGTCAGGAGATAACCATCGGGTCTGCAATTATATTAATCCTTTACAATCTGATCAGTAATTAAAATATAATAGCCCTCCAATAACACAGGGCATTACTGCTGTCTCATTTGCAGATGCAGTTCATGAGACAGTGCAAGTGTCTGATTTACATAAGAAGGTTTCTTTCTCTTCCAGACTCTAAGGTGGGCGTCATACGTGAGTACCTGACAGACTTTAAACATGGAAGTAGGGTTTGAGTCAAATGTGCACACAGGCTCCCATTGCTTGAGACTGTACTACGAGAGTCTTGATTTTAGTTTTCCTTTAGCCTTTGGTCAGGAAAAACCTGGATGCTTTTAGGTATAAAAATTATTTGCATGTAAATATAAAGCTCTGAGGAGAAGAAGACAGCTGAAAAATTATCTGCTTGTCAAAGCAATTCAGATTACACGGCTGAGAGCTTCAAAATCACCATAATCTTCCATTTGCAGCAGGCTCCTAAAAATCGTCCTAATCCATACACTTATAAGGGCATCTAGCACGTATGAAAAAGAATTTAAAGTGAATGAACAATGGCAAAGTTAATTGGAAGCCCCAAGCAGCCTTTAAAACAGTTTTCTGTTCAGAGCAGTTTCAAAACTGTTACTCTGAAGCTGTATTTATATACAAGGAGTAAAATAAAAATGCTACTACTTAAGAAAAGGTGAAAGAATGGGTTACTTGCCCCGAGAACTCCCTTAGCTAAGTTGTTTGTATGGCAAGCTTTAGTGTATCTGGTGATGATATTAATTCTGATCACTAATACTTTTCAAACACATAAGGTAATCTTCCATTTTATGTTTTATGGACCATTAAAAATAGATCTTGATAGTGACTTTTTTTGGTTATACTTTTGGGGTGTGTTCTAATTTTTGTTCCTAATCTAACTTTCGTTCCTACTTTTCAAGCTAAAAGCAAAACTGAACAGTACTAATTGGACACTTCGTTTTCAGAAGGGCCTGGGGTATGTGAAAGTATAGTTTGGGAGGCAGAGAAAGAGGAAAAGCCCAGATGAGTGGGAAGCCCTTCACTGGCAACGTGCAGCGGGTATATTCTGAAGGCTGACGCCACAGCAAGTATGTCACTTGTGGTGGGGAGGTTTGAAAAAGGGAATGAAAGCCCGATCTCAGAGGAAGAGCCAGATGAGGATGGAGTATACTGAAAGTGATGGAAGGAATTTGCATGGGATTTATTGGGTTAGTATAGGAAAGGTAGAGGAGAGATCTGGTTGGGGTAGAAGCAAAGGAAGGGGAAAGTAAAGATAGCCTTTAACTGTACACTGAAATTCCAGGGAGATTTCCAAAGTGCCTCTGTCTCTTGCAGTACTGAGCCTGAATGCACTGCCCTCTGCAGAATATGAGCCCTTCCTCAAAAGGAGAGCATTCACTGTGAAATCCTGTGTGTGCTGCCCTCAGAAGCAGAGGAGCTGTGTTTGTGTGGCCTTATACCATCTGCATTTGTCTGAAATAAAGAGGGCTCTCAGAAATCTGCCATGCATAAGACAAAAAGGAAGTACCAAAGCTTCCCCTCAGAGAACAAAAGCTTTGCTTAATTCTGCACTGCATTAATTAATGGGACAGCTGTGCATTAGGTGCTGAGGCAAACAGCTTTCAGCTCCATGTTTTAGGATACACCTGAGGCAGCTGCTTTTTCCATCCTTCTCCATTCTGCTGTGTATTTATTTAGTACATTTGAAGCGCATCTTGCTCACGGTGAAAGGTGTATCTTCTGCTACTGAGAGCAGGAACTCATTGTTAGGGAAGGGATGGGGAGGACGGCAGCTGAGCAACTTCATCTTTTAATACACACCAGCTCTATTTAAAATCTGCTGATGTCGCACAGGGCAGGGGGGCCAACTAATGTTTATTTCTGTTAAATCTCTACCTCGGGTATATATTCATTTCTGAATAGTAAAAGTACCCGAAATTCCCAAAGTAAGCAGTGGCTCTTGATTTGTTACCATGCTACAAGCCACAGATTTCTGAAGAATGATGCAGTTTTGCTCATTACATTGTGAACTTACTTGCAGTGATGTCACATCAAGTAATCTGGGCTGTGTTTAGCACAACTCGTTTGTGTCAATAAGTAGCCTGTCAAGGTAAATGTGTTTTAAGGTATTTTTACAGTCTGGTAGTCCGTTCTTGCTCCATTTCCCCTTTTAATCAATGCTGTACTAATGACCATTCAGCCTTTGATTCCAAAAGTGATACAGTTTTTCCAGTGGTGGGAGATGAGCATCTGAGGACACTTGGAAGCTTTAGAGGGGGTTTGACAGAAGCCTGCCTCAAAGAAACTTTGCACCAGCGCGTGATGGTGCCAGCCTTGAAGTTCCAAAGCACCCAATATTTTCCTGAATTCTGCTGAATAGTGATACATTTTTTCTGTTGTTTCTATTCACATCACTGCTGATTACTAAGATATCTGTGTGTAAACAAAACCTTTCTCATCTATAATTAGCCTTCTCTGACTGATTAAGGAACATGCCTAGAATGAGGACATGCTTAAATAGAATGCTGCTATTTTAACCCATATAACTTCGGAATCAACCACTAAATACAGAAGAAAAATACTTGGCAATTTAAATGCAGTAAGATTGCCTGAGTATAACAGAAATGCTCTGGGGATGTTGCGTTTCTGCTTCAGCAGATTATAAAATCCTCTAGTACCTGAACTACAAATTTCTTCATTTGGAGCCACTTTAAAAAGTGGAAATTATCCATGGTGACTAGCTTGTGCTCCTGAAAAATGTATTGTTCTGAGTATTTGTAACCTCATATTTACAGTCCTTGCATCAAATACACCTTCCTCATAACACAGTCTGGCAACGGTTGAGAGGGTGCTTTGAAATGCTGTCGTGCTGTTTAGTCTAACCATTGGTTTTTAATTGAAGTATTTTAATGTTGTAATATGGGGTTCCTTCTAGGAAAAGAACGTGCAGATTTCAACACGCTTTGCTTTTTGTGGCTGTAGTATTCATTTTACATTGCATAAGCTTGCGAGGTTTAGCAGTTAGAATAAATCATTGTCACCATACAGCACTTCCGAGCTTCACCCTCACTTCTGGCTCTGATTCACTGTGTGACATTGGACAATATGCCTAATGACAGCAGTGTGCTGTGTATATTTTTCACTGAGCATTTACCTCAAAATTGCCTCTTCTCTCTCATTTACTAGATGAGTTTACAGGATTGAGTTTAAACGTTTAAATTGAACTGTCCCAAACAAAAGAAAGAAATGCTTTAAAGATTTTGTTTTCTCCTTCAACTGTTTGATCCAGTTATCATTAGTCATAGCTCAAGACTGATGAGGAAGCAGAAGTTACCATGGAAGAAAAACAGGTAGTATCCTTAGTGTACGTAATACATGTCTGAATGCCTGCTGTTACGTTAAGTAAGCCCATTAAATTAACCATAATTTATTTTGAGGAATGCTAACTCAGAATTAGGAAATGCAGAACCATGAAAAATGACAATTTAATTTAGCATCATCTTATGCCTTGGTAAATGAGAAAATAAAAGGATAGGGCAGTATTTGTGCAGGATGTGTACCCACGTGAAAAAATAGGAAATGCTTCTTTGACAGCGTGCTACATGGGCTTCAAAAAGAATGGTCCCATAGATGAATGGTGTAAGACATGTCTGTATTTGCTGCCTTGATGTTTCTTTATCAAGTGGTCTTTGGCTGTCACTATAAAGCTGCCCTCTGAGTATTTCAGTGACATTCAGAAAACATAGGAAGTCTTGCATTACATTCTTTTTTTTACCCCCCTTAAAAGATAATATTCCTTTCTGTGCCTCTTCATTTTGTTCAGGTCAAGCCATTTTATGTTCTAAGAATTTCTGCAATGTAATTCATCTGAAAGAAAAACTGGGAATGTACTTTGCCTTTCTGAATGCCTTTCCTACAGTCTATCCTCTGAGAGGCAAAGGGTATTTTGTTCCTTTCTGTATTGTAATGAGAGGAGGAAATATGGCTCTAAATATAGAGAGCATATGAGTGCATACATAACTGAGTCTTATTGCACCTGTCAAACAGGTATACACCAAGTATACACATTTATTGTTCTCATATTGTCATGTCTCTGCAAACTAGATAAGTAATCGAGCATGAATTGCTGGATATGGAACAGCCATAGTAACAGGTATTTTCTTTTATATAACATTTTAGCCATAATTTCTTAGTGGAGCAAAATGGAGAAACAGTCTTTAGGCAGCTACAGGCCAATACTTAAACACACACACTTAGTTTCACTGACCTGCAGAATGGACTGGATACAGTAGGAATCATGTAACAAATCCCTCCGTTTAGACAAAAAGATCTGTAACTGGTGCCACAGAGTTCTTCATGATCTTGAAAATAAGACCAAAACAGGCACAGGTTAAAATGGAGACTTCTGTATCTTTATCAGTGAAAGGGGATCTTAATTGTACTTTTAGGGAGGGAGGGTGGCTTCCTTAAAAAAATACAATAAACCCCCACAAAAACACACCCCACCCCCCAAAAAAACCAACCCCCAGAACAATTCACCACACACAAACAAATAAGATACCAGTCTTGCCTTCCAGGCCAGCTACATGGAACACTTCCTATCTTGCAGAATTGTTTCATGTAATGATATGCAAGAAGACCATATATTTATCGTCATATCAGACATGAAGCACCTAAATTTTATTAATAAATGCAAAATTTCTCTTGCAGTGAGAGGAGCTTTTGGGTTCTCCGTTACTTGCTTTGGCTTTCACGACCACAGAGTGTACCGAGTACAGTGACTCACGTGATGGACCTGTAGGAAGCCTGGTTTGTCCTGTTCCAGTGGCACAAACTCTCTTTCGCTTAACTAGCTTCTGGGAGAGAATCAATCAGTACAGAAAAACCCAGAAGAGTCTCAGGTGTGGACCAGGACATTCTGAGCCTGCTGCAGGCTGTGTTAAGAGCTGAATCATAAGAGCACAGTTGGACACCAGCAGGTTTTCCCGACCCGGTTTTTCACAACCAGTGCAGGAGCTAGCCTCTGAAGTGTCACTTAGGTAGAAGATTGCCTCTTACAATGTTGTTACCACAGATCTTAAAAAGGCTTTTTCCTAACTTGGTAGACTTACTGTATTGTTAGGGTGTTAAACACAATTAAGCATTCTAACAATACCCCAAATACAGGATAGTACTGTTGGCACCTGTAGCAGTGGTTGTCTATTTTGTGCTTAAAAATAATATCTAACTGTAAATTTGAATTTAATTATGCTACATTTAATGCATCAGCAATTCACTTTTTATATATGCACATATATTTTTATATAGATCTTCAATCTTAGGAAACCACAATACCTCAATGAAAACAAAACCAGAGCAGTTTTCTGACATCACAACTATGAGAATTATGTGCTGCCTCACACTTCAGGTGTTGGTTTCGCTATTATTTCTCCCAGAAGTTCTGACAATAAGAATTCTGCTGTCTCACTATTTATGTATAGAGGACACATTCTAGACAAGATATAGTGTTGTTTAAGAGGAAACAAGATTTTAATAGTCTTATTTTTCCTTCAGGAAAAGGAGTTAGGGCTCATTCTCCTCTATTCCTGAAGAAGAAAGTGAGGAATGTGGCCATAAGACATTCTACCCCAGAGGGAACTTCTACAGCTTTGTCTAAAAAATAAATCCGACTTTACTAAGAGCAGCAGAAAAGCTAAGCTACTTCTAAGCATCCTGCATCCTGCTATTCTCGAGACCATCTCTAGTAATTCCACTCTCCCATCTTCTCATACAGTGTTCCATTTCTATGAAGGCATATTTGACATAGAAGAGTGAGTCACATTACAGAATGTTATCCTTAATCTTTACATTATTTTAAGATGAAGGCAGTTACACCACAGAGCTCAACAGGCACCCAGATGGTAACTGGACCTTTTTGCACATGTGTAGATAAGGTAAGGAGCTGGAGGAGGGGAGAGGTAAGGCTGGAAAGACCAAGCTGGATGGGGCTTTGAGCAACCTTCTCTAGTGGAAGATGTCCCTGCCCTGGCAGGGGGTTGGATTTGGATAAGCTCTAAGGTCCCTTCCAACACAAACCATTCTATGAATCATATTTGAATTCCTGTTCATGTTTGACCTTGTTGCATTGGCTCGGGATGTGGCATAACAGAAATGTGTGTTCTAATCTACCCTGTTAGAAGGTAAATGGAAATTAATTTTAACTCTGACGCTTTCTTTGCTTGTCTACTGGCAATTAATTTACTGCAAGGTCGCTATCAAAAGACTTTTTATCTTATTTTGCATGCATAACAGTATAATTACAGTAGGAATAAAAAGGTAATGGAAAAAAGCAAGAAGGATTTTAAACAACTGTGTTTTATTTTAGTCTATTCAAACGTAACAGTGGAACTTCTGCAACGCTGTAATTCAACTGAAGGCTGCATCCTTCCTTAAATGAAGGAACTTCGACCTCCTCTTAAGCATCTGAGGGAGTTAAGTGTTGTTGAAATTCTACCACGTGGAAAAGTGAGTTGATGGGAGGTAGGCAACACAGAAAGATCCTTTCAGACAGCTTGTGAAAAGCCTTCAGAGAAATTCTCATGAGAATTAATGAGAACTTGTTAACCTCCTTAAATTCCAGCGTTACAGTTCCATTTCTTCATCTTTATGCAGACATAGGCCTGTCTGACGCTGGCGTAGTGGTGTATTACTGAAGAAAACTAAATGCCTCAAGTCATTCGGATCCCAGAACATTTGGGAGAATGATTGTCTCACTGTTCTGCTGTGAGCTGTGTATTAAGGACCAGCTCTGTGGCCCAACTAGATGTTTCTGTTCTGGCAAAATACCTCAGGCACTCTGTCTTAGGCCTATTAGAGGAGAGTGAGAGGGGTGGAGAGAGAGAACAAAAAGTGCCTAGGAAGACTTCAAAACCCTTCTGATTGTAATTGCAGACAATTTGTCTACAGGCTATTTCTTTCTAGAGCTAGACTTCTTTCCAGTGCTAAGGGAAGAATTGTAACCCTAATTTTAACAGTAATGAGATGTTCAAAGAATTGTCTGTGTAGATCAGGTGCCCCATTTTCCATCCAGTTGTGCTTTTCATTCGTTCTATTTTGTGTGTTAATACTTTGCTACTACTTATTGAAAATATCAGAGTAATACAGTATAAAGTAGATGACAGAATTGTGGAAGTGAGCAACAGAAAATTTGGGGTGCTCTAACTATAAAAATACTAATTACTAGTAGTAGTGGGGTTTGATACAAGTAGAAAATATAAATTATTGTACTCCATACCCATTTTACTGAAATGTGGTCATCTGGATCAAATTTGAAAGCTACAGCACTATTTATAGACAGGAAAGCACGAAAGCAACAGTTTTCCCTTTGAATTTACAGTCAGTGATGCGGAAGAGTACACTGGACAATCAGAAGGGTTCAGTACAAGCCAAAACCCAGTTACACAAGCGTCAGTCAACATATTAGGATTCTTCATTGGGTATGTTGATACATTATATTAATCTAAAAATGCAAATAGTACACTTTGAAGGGGAACTGTGTACTATGTTCAGGCTACATAATCAAGATAGAAAAGCTGTAATAAGTCAGGTGACGACAGGCAATTAAAACAAATAAAAAAGATTTAGCTTTTCAATGAACACAACTCTAGAAACTATCAACTTACATTCTACTTAATATATATGTATGCATTTTTATATGTCCTTCTATGTGAGAGAGAAAATAATGAGTAGTAGGACACAAAAGTTACTTTTCAAAAAGTTGGGGTTTGGCAGGAGAAGAATGAAACCAGATTGTTCTTTCTAATGGTAGACTGTGAATACTTAAAACTGGTAGAAGTAATAGCAGCCTCTAAATACACTGAGTCTCAATTATTCTCTTTGAGGACATGCTTGAAAACCTGTCCCTAAACTATCTTGTCTGTTTGCATTTAAACTTCTGTAACCTGACAGTCCTACCTATTAAAAAGAAAGACAAATAAAGGCTCAACACCACCTTAACCCCCAAAGAACCAAGCCAGCCTTGATAATCCACATGTTGACTCAGCCGTCTTGCCTAGTCCAGAGGCTAAAATACTACAGACTGTCTAATCCTGAAGTCTGCTACTTTCCAAAAGGGAAGGAGGAGGAGTGGAAAACGTTGACAGAAGATAAAGGGGCTGATGCATGCTTCCTCACTTATAAGCAACTTTGAACTATATGCTCATCAATCACGAATAGGAGCCTTGATCAAAGCAAACACCTTACAGAATCTGTACCACTGACTGGTGAACTCCGGTTTGCTGACTAGTAAGCGATGACAGCCTTACACAGCAGTTGTCACAATCCCAATGGCAGCTGTCAAAATCACTGCAGTTTTAAAGAGTTCTAATTATATCTGTATGCACATCCAAGTGAAGGCTTGGAGGAAATTACCTGTGCGCATATTATTCCGACAACAATTTTTGTTCTTGGTCAGAGGCTGTTCTTCTAAAACGGCACCTAAAGACAAACACGTACATTTAGCATGTGATTTTTAACCCGAGTGACTTTTGTTTGAAGAAACAGCTATTGGAATGCAGTGTTGCTGCTGAGCCATTTGTTGTACTTTGACGGTAATATACTGTCATATTACATGTAAGTTCCATTAATTCACAATTAATGGCAAACATTCAAGTCTACTGTCAAGTTCAGTGAACTCCTGAGGGCACTACTACAAGAGGAAACCCCAAGTTGCACCAAAGCATGTGTAAAAAATGAATACTTTTTTTCAAACTGCCATGCTGGTACCTGATGCTTTTAGGCAAGCTCAATTATTGTTTCTGGCTAGCTAATTAAACTGACATTTGTACCCTGAAAGACAGTGCATACAATTAAATCGGTCCTCAGGCTGGTGATTAATCAATCAGGTAAGATTCCTGCCTTTCACAAACGAGAACTTCTTAATTTGTAATTTCTTGGAGAGAATGTGTGTGTTTCACTTGAGTTGTTCCTCATGTTCTGATGTTGGGTGAAATCAGTAACACAGGCCCTGAATTTAGCAGAACTCAGCACGGTCAAGACTTGTACAGTTATTTTTAAAGTAGGGAATAGAAACTCTCTGCCTGGACAGAAACCAATCTTCACTGGACATTGCTAAAAAGAAACTTAAGTTTGTAGACATGCCACCTCTGTAACCATCTAACATTGCTATATTCCCATTTCTTCTAAGGTATGGTCAAGGTTTAGCATACCAGCTGGGTCACTGAACAAGCCTAGTGTGATGGGTCTTCTTTTTTTTAATGTTTGCTCTTTTTTGTCTTAGTTATACTTCAAAGTGTACGTAAGGTAAATATTTAAGCAAACTGTCCTATATTGGAAGAAAGATTTTTTTCCCATTAAATGATCAAATAAATCATCAGCTTTACCAGAAATAATGGCCTGCGCTTTAGCTCTTACTACCAGAAAGGCAACTTTCTGAGGAGGCCCATTGCAAAAGGTATGATGCATTTGTACTTACTGTATAAGCAGACAGTCTGTTTTTCATGGGACCTCAAATGGCTTCTCTAGCTCTTTAAGTGTCCTGTCCACACAAGACAGCCTGAACTGGCAGTTCCCTGTGACACGGGGCTGTAACAGCAGGGTCCCCAGCCAGAGGCTGTCCCCTTGGGCTGTCTCACAGATACACAACTTTGCTTACTTCGTGTACACAACCAGGTACGGTTAACGTAGCATACGGCACAAAGAAAACACCAATGTGATTCACTTCAGAACCCAAATCCTGTTTCTCAAAGGAATCAATCATCCTGGAAGTGGTTATTTTTAGCAGCCAAGAGCTGGATTTTCTCTCTGTGATGGTAAAAAGGCTTCAAATTTACATATAGTGCAATGTGGGTGAGGTTACAACAAACACACATGCAGAGACCAAGTACAGAATAGGATAACACCCTGTTATGCTCACAAATCACTTGCATGTTTTTCTAGGGTTACCAGTACTACAGTTTATTGCTGAATTCAAAACATTCACACACTGTAGTATGTATAAATTACATCATAAAAATATGCAGCAGTCAAAAATCTGATGTAAATTCGTCCTTTATTGGAGCTAGCGGTCCTTTTTAACTTATTTTCCCTTTTCTCTGAATGCTTCACAAAACTGTGTAAGATCTCGTAGCTCTCGTAACAGAAAATACAAATAGGAAGTATCACCTGTATTTTAGACTAGCTCCTTTACCAGATTTAATTAGGACATGGGTCATTGAACAGACAAAGTAACTTGATTTTGCTACTGCAAAAAGGAGAACTCCCATCTCTTTTCCTTCATCTTACCGTCAGTATGCATCTCCACCATCTCCCTGGTGCTGCTACTTGTATAAATTGAACTTTTTCAGGAGATGCTTAAATCCAACTATCCAGCAGAAAATTCCTTAGAAGCAGCTGACAGTTTTCTTCTGGATCAGTGTGTTACATGGTTGTGCTATACGCACCTCATCAGCTGTTTGGACTAGGACTACTTGTAACATGCACTACAAATTGCTTATAAGCTGACTGCAAAGAACAAGACAGTTTGAAGCAGGCTGTGAGACTCCTTCCTAACTGTTAACTTTCAAACTTTCTTCTTTATTTCTTCCTTTTATTCAAAGAAACGGGGTGGTGAAGGAAGGGGGTGAAAATACTTCCTAAACAATCCAAGAGGATGTGTGTGTATATGCATAATTCTCTTCGTGAAGTTCTGACAATCTGGGTCTAAAGATCACTGTCAGAAGAGGTGTTGCTGACAGCGTTCATAGTTGTGGCTTTTTGGGGTTTTTTTCAGACTGAAAAGTAAATTATTAGGTAGTCATGTGTTTATAAGTAAATGTTTTTCTCTGGGTGCTTGCAGTCTGAACAGAAGATCAAGTATGTATCAGTGTCCTAAAAAGAATAAATTGGACTCTTTATATCATTAAAGAAATAAGAAGATGTATTGTAAAGAAAATGAAATGCTATAGCAGAAATTGTTGCTAAACTTGATTCTAACTTGCTTACATCTGTCTGTGCACTGAACTGGTACTAGAAACACAAGAGATGATTTTTGCAGCTACCTAATACTTTACAAACTCAATGTCTTGTAAAACATTGTCTGTAGCCTGTGCTCACAGAAACTAAGAGTCCAATTCTGTGAATGCTCAAATGTTTAACTTGGATGAAACTTGGGAGTTTGTGAAAGTCTACATTAGTATTTTAATCCGAAATTTATAATATAGCCTATTTTGCTCTGTGCTGGCGTGTCGAAAAACTTGAAATCAGTTCTACCCTTCTCTCCATATCTTTGTCATCTAACCTGATCTTAATAACAACAGCACATTGTTTGAAGGATTACAGTTTACACACTATAATCTTAGGTCTCCTATGTGTACTGATACACACTGATATTATTGACAGTCTCTTCAATCATATGAAAGTCCCGGGCATCTTTATTTTCATACTCAAGGGCTTCAGTTCAGGAAAGGATTTACATCACATGCTTAGAGTTAACCATATCCTAAATTACTAAATTAAAGCATGTTCACGTACGTTGTTGAATGAAGCATAAACTCTGTGTGTACACGTGTATCACAGTGCATGCTACAAATGTGATGGAAATACTGGGTTACTGTTCTGTAGCAGAGAACCCACAGGTGAGTGAGCCACGCAAGAAAAGTCCACACATCCACATGCTTCTTGGGCACTAAAACACTGGGGGGAAGAACACATTTTTGGGGGGAGCTGCTAGTGGATTTCTGGGCAAGTTGAGCACTTAGGCACAAAACTGAAATGGGTTCGTCTCTTCAGCAAAAATAGGTGCTAAAATCTGTCCATACTGGAGGCTAGCTGTAAACAAGTCTTTTGAAGTCATTAGATTTGTCTTTAAATGAACCTGTGTGCTTTATTCCCCAAATACTTAAAACAGAATCCTTATTGCAACTTATTTTTCTGTGCTTTTAATGCCCGACTATTTTAAGCATCTATGAGATACAGTATCCCCAAAAGGTGGTTACTGGAAGTCTTCATGAGCATATGCAGATAAAAAGAAAGCACTGAATAATGATTTGGGGTTTGATTTATGGTTCTTTGCTACTCAAACATTCTTAAAATTAATCTCTATATAATTTTTTCCCCAAATTAAAGATCATTTCAGTCACAAGGCTATTTCAAATATACATTGTTTGTTCATTTAGATTAGGTTGCACTTTACAGCTGTCTTCAAGGATGGGATTTTACTACATTATATAGTCTTTTGTTAAAGTCCAAAAGAGGTAAAATCTCATTCTGCCCCAATAGTGAGCTCAAATATTTGTCATGAAAACAATGAAAGGAAAAACTTAATTGTTTTTGCACTATCTGCTTTGTAGACAAATTAAATATAAATTTCCTTCTAAGACATGTCCTTCCAAGAGTGAGGAACTGTCCTGCAGTCTTGTTACAAGGAGTCTGTTTCTTTTCTTATCTAGGTGATATCTTCTAATACCATTACCATGTGAAGCTCACAACTGATTTTAGCACAGAAAATCATCAGATGTCAGAAAAAAATCCATCAAACTGCCTGAAACAAATGGAGATCTCAATAAGGAAGAATTCAAGATGAGTTACTACACCGAATTTGTACAAGCACAGTGTGTTACTCGATTTCACGCACTGGAAGTGTCTTTCAAGATGGGATGGCTAGAATGTGAACTCTGACGAAAGACAGCAGTGGAGGCAGATACCAAGTCACAAGTCTCAACGTGTTTGTGATTGACAGGTAAATTTTTCAGAATACAGTTGTTCAAAATTCTTTCCATTACAGTTTTCTGAAATGACAAAAAATACCTGAGTCC